GGTACATACATAAAACCTCACAAATTCAGTTAAAAATAAAAATAAATAAATCGTTCTTGATAATGGCTACAAGAATAGTCGAAAAATGAAATAAAAAGTTTAATCGCAGTGCTTTGTCAGCTGCTTTTAACGAAACTTGTATAAAAAAAGGGGTTGCTGCCCCAAGACAATATATATATATATATATATATATATATATATATATATATATATATATAGAGAGAGAGAGAGAGAGAGAGAGAGAGGGGAGAGAGAGAGAGAATGATTTGATACTAGAAAATTTTAACAGATTTAAAAAATTGGTATGTGACACATGGTCAGCCGATCTGAGTCAAACCAGTCAACGCCTGGCTATGAGAATTAACCAGCATGTTTCAGCTTATATAGAACGGCGTGTGAGGCGTAGTTTAACACTGCTAACTCAGTTGGTTCTAGAGTCTTCTCCTGGCACATATGGATGGACGTATGACAAATAAAAAATATTAAGATTAGACAAATTTTAGTTCATAACAATGGAATATTATACAGGACACAGGCCAAAGAAAGACTTCAAACTCTGGAGGCTTTGGTAATAAAAGAGAAGCACCCAACATTAAATAAGGTATTTTTCTCCATATCGGACCGTATATTGAAGTGTGTTTAATGTAACACACACACGCACACACACACGCACACACACACATACAAACATTTCAGATTGGCGGTTTATATGGCGTCACCTTGAGTGAGTTGAAATTGATTCCATCAAACGCGAGAACACCTGAATTAAAAACCAGAACAGAATAGTCCTTGAATACTAATGGAGCAACATTCGAAAATACTCGGGTTAAATAATGTAAAATAAAAGTTAATATGAATGTTGACAAATTTAAAAAAAAAAAAAACAACATATTCGTAAATTTCAAAAATTTTATAAAAAAATTCATAAACAGAAATTGTCCATATTATTTAACAAAGCATGTTTGAGAGAATTATTGCTGCCGAATTACACTTTATATATATATATATATATATATATATATATATATATATATATATATATATACTCGCAGCATGGCCCGGCGCTATCACTTGACTTAAAATATTTTTGCCCTTTCTTGCCGTTAAAGGAGTGCCCTTTGCCGTGCTGATGTTGCTACATGCCTTACTTCTTGCCTATCTCACACTGCGAATTTTTTTAAGCTCCATACTAAACGAAAAAAAACTAAACAAAATGAACACAAAACGATCAGCTTTAAAAAGAACTCGTAACTGGAAAAACCGAATGAAAATAGAATGTTAACAACAAATATTTTTTTACACCCAACACAGTTCTGCGGAATCAGAATCAACGTTGAGTTTAAACAAGCGGATGAGCCAATTGGAGTAAAGTGTCATGCAGATTTAAATTTTTCCCACTTGTGACGAATGCAGCTATCAATTTTTTTGCATGCTAGCATGCTAGTTAACATTCGTGTCAGTCAGCTGTTGGCTCTCACGCTGGCTAGTAGTTCCAGGAATACGGGTTAGTAGCAAAATATCTATACAGTCTTTGGTAATTGAAGTATCGCTGTATGACTTCTTACTGAGTCTACGTGCTCGCTCACTGTGACCCTTGCTGGCTACGTTCGTTCTGTCTGTCTGTCTGTCTGTTGCTCTCACTCTTCCGGTTATCTACAACCTTTCACTCCCCTCTCCTGCTCTCTCAGGTCTTCAGGTAGCAGTAGTATATGTATATACTGGGTGAGTTCATTTGTGTAAAAAGGAGAACCCCTCAACATATATATATATATATATATATATATATATATATATATATATATATATATATATATATATATCAGGTTGTTCGGTAAATAATGTTCCATCTGTGAAGAGACATTATTATATCAGTTGCACAAAATGTATTACTCATTACTAATGACTAAAGTGTCCTCTTTGTTAATTTTATATCAATTCCTTTCAGAATTTGCCTCAAAATATTATATACCCATCATCTTGAATATGGATAAAAAGGAGGGAGATGCGTTTACCTTCCTTGCATGTGTTCAAGCTTGGTCATAATCCTTCTCAAACCTCGGCCTATATTAACAGCGCATAGAGTGAAGGATCCGCTTGTGGTCAAACAGTTTCTGAAGTTCCCGCCATTGGGATACGAGTCTTGTCGCTCAAGGTGGTTGAAGACGTTCATCAGCAATTGACAATAAACATGTGAAAATACAACTCGATCCAAATCCACGTCAAAATGTCAGAGAAATATCTTGGTTTACGGGTGTCAGCATCTCCCCAATATCAGACCATCTCAAGAAAATTAACAATGTGAAGAAACTCGATAAATGGGTTCGACATGATCTCATTTAACGTCAAAGAGTTCGACTCTTTGAAGTGTGTTCGAGGCTGTATCTGTGAAATTCGAATGAAACATTTCTTGAACAGTGACTTGTGGATGAGAAATTGAGCCTTTATAAAAATTATAAATGATCGGCTGAACGGTTTGATCATGACGAAGGACCTAAGCGCTTTCCAAAATCGAAATTGCACAAACTTGTGATTCACCTTTGGCGTTATCTATCATAGATTTCTGGTATCTAACCTGGATATCATTGCCGAAGTTTACTGACAGGAAGTGGATGAAAAACACATTCAGCGAAGCAAAATGCAACCGACACTGATTAATTGGCGAAGTCTAATGCTGCTTCGTGATATTGCTCATCAAATATGGATGACAATGTAGAATCACTCTGACTTTGAGTATGTAACTTCGCAGTATCCACCATACTCCCTTGATCACTCACCCAGTGAGTATCACTTTTTCATCTTGATAATTTTTTTTTAATCCAAAAGATATTCCGTAACAAAGAATATGCAGAAACTGCATTCAAACATTTATTGACGTTCAAACTTTTAGAGTTTTATTATAAAGTCATAAATAACCTTGTCACTCGATGGCAGAAATGTATAGATGCACAGGGTCCCTATTTGACATAAATAAAAGTTGATTTTAGAATCGGACATTATTTTCCAAAGAGCATAATAGTATATTTTTATACCACTGTTTATCTTAAACACGTTTTGTTATTTTCTATTCCTAAATATTTCTGATAATTTTTATTGATTTTCTGTCTTATCACTGTATGAAGAATGAATATTCAGATCAAATTTTCTCCATTAATGTTCATATAATTGGGATATTTTCAATATTATTGAACAGAATGTTAGGATTCTGTAATTCAAGGAAACATATATATATATATATATATATATATATATATATATATATATATATATATATATATATGTGTGTGTGTGTGTGTGAAAATATATAGAAAATAGGAAAAGAACTCGTTAGGTAAATAATTCAAAGTTCTTTAGTATTTTTTGTTATTATTTTTAAAAAATAGTACTCGATACAAAAGTAGAGCATAAATATAATTATTTATTTAAAAATATGATTCTATATGTAGCGTGTTGGAATCATATTTTTAAATAAATAATTATATATATATATATACATATATATATATATATATATATTTGCGTACAGCTTGCGATGACGATTAAATTGTCGTCTAAATTATGCAAAAATAAAAATAACACTGACATCTCATTTTAACTTATATATTTACTAAACTTACACAAAAAAAATATTTCGAAATACTCTTTAGTAAATTGATTCAATAAAATCGCCATTGGCTTCAACCCTGACCCCTACTCCCGACTACTTACTATCTCCTGGAACTCTTCTGGGCAGACTCCTTGTTTAAGTTTGTGAGTGCTGCCATAATCCTTACATTAAATTCATCTTTGGTGTTATAAGAAATTTTGTTGCCCTCTCGCTCAAATGCGTCCCACACATAATAATCAAAGGAGTTGCAGTCAGGTCAGATGTAAGGGGTGATGTGATCATGACTGAGTTCACATGCTTGTGTGGCATGGTGCAGAGTCCTGTTGCTAGACATAGGGTCTTTCAGCAGCAATCCTCTTGTCCTAGAGAAGCAATGCCTTCACCAGGCACTTGGTGTAGGCCTCCGTTTTGAGTCTCACCAACAAATTCGGGGGTTCTTTTCTTATCAGAATGATCAGAGTAAGTTTCTCGAGCTGCCTCGCATTCGTAATCACGATTAGACTCATCGAACTCTTTCCGATTCTTCTGCACTGTCGTCTGACTGACACCCAAATACACTGAAATATTCGTATTGGTGCTTTCGGCGCGAATGCCAATTAGTACAGAACACCGTTTCCAAATTTCTGGCGGAGGGAATTGCGTCATGTTGTTATTTTTTTACAGACGGTCCCAACTGACCCTACTACACTGGGCTGTCGATAAAATAAAAAACAAAAAAAAAACAACGCGCATGCGCGAACTTAAAAATATAAAATGATGACAATTTACCCATCGCACTCTCTATATGTGTGCATTTTTGATCCGACTACAAGAATACTGTAATCTGGGAAGTGCTTATAAATTACATGGTGACTATTCTTATCACAGATTTTTGGCAGTTGTACCTTCATCAGATCCATGTCGATATGTATCTGTCTATATTTCTGAGATGAGGCATTATGTACACTATTTACATTATTCGGACTATTGTCCTCATCTTTGTCGCCATATTTATTATTACAACGTTTCGGCCGTTGTACGCTCCTGCCTTCTTCAGGTGGTTGGAATGTCGAACTGAACCCTTTATTTCGCTTACCTGGGGTAGACTGTTCTAGTTCCACGTGCCATATTTAATGGATGTCAATTATCAGTTATCTCCTGTTAATTCACCGCTCCAAGTTCCCCACTGCCTTAACCGGATATTGAACTCACACTCTTTGGGTCCTGTCTCAGTGGATAAAGGTGTCCGTTAGATCTTGCGGTAGACAATACAAATAATAGCCTAGTGGATTAAAGCGTTGTTTTGTGAGTTTTGACGGCACAGTAATTTTGACTTCATACCTTTCTAATAGATTTTAATAAGAGCAAATTTCAACCGCGTATTCACCAGATGATCATGGACGAAATCTTCTAGGCGATGACTTTTTTATTTTTCTTCATTAAATTCCTACGTTTTTTCTTGGTTTCACATTTTTAAAAACTATTTAATTTTTTTCATAGTTCTCTTTTTTGCCTTTTGTTTATTTAATGTTTTTTATTTTCTTTTTTACTTTTTGGTTAATTTTTTCACATTTTCTTTATTTCAGTTTTCATTTTTTTCCCATTTTCTTTATTTCATTTTTTCCCATTTTCTTTATTTCCTTTTTCACATTTTTTTATTTCATTTTTTCCCATTTTCATTATTTCATTTTTTCCCATTTTCTTTATTACATTTTTTCACATTTCCTTTATATCATTTTTCCCATTTTCTTTATTTCATTTTTTACCATTTTCTTTATTACGTTTTTTCACATTTTCTTTATTTCATTTTTTCCCATTTTTTTTATTTCATTTTTTACCATTTTCTTTATTACATTTTTTCCCATTTTCTTTATTTCATTTTTTCACATTTTCTTTATTACATTTTTTCACATTTTCTTTATTACATTTTTTCACATTTTCTTTATTTCATTTTTTCACATTTTCTTTATTACATTTTTCCCATTTTCTATATTTCATTTATTCACATTTTCTTTACTTCATTTTTTCACATATTCTTTATTTCATTTTTTTACATTTTCTTTATTTCATTTTTTCACATTTTCTTTATTTCATTTTATCCCATTTTCTTTATTTCATTTTTCCCATTTTCTTTATTTCATTTTTTCCCATTTTCTTTATTACGTTTTTTCCCATTTTCTTTGTTTCATTTTTTCACATTTTCTTTATTTCATTTTTTTCCCATTTTCTTTATTTCATTTTTTCACATTTTCTTTATTACATTTTTTCACATTTTGTTTATTTCCTTTTTTCCCATTTTCTTTATTTCATTTTTTCACATTTTCTTTATTACATTTTTTCACATTTTCTTTATTTCATTTTTTCCCATTTTCTTTCTTTCATTTTTCACATTTTGTTTATTTCATTTTTTCCCATTTTCTTTATATCATTTTTTCACATTTTGTTTATTTCATTTTCCCATTTTCTTTATTTCATTTTTTCACATTTTGTTTATTACATTTTTTCCCATTTTCTTTATTTCATTTTTTCACATTTTCTTTCTTTCATTTTTTCACATTTTCTTTCTATCATTTTTTCACATTTTCTTTATTACATTTTTTCATATTTTGTTTATTTCATTTTTTCCCATTTTCTTTATTTCATTTTTTCGCATTTTCTTTATTACATTTTTCACATTTTCTTTATTTCATTTTTTCACATTTTCTTTCTTTCATTTTTTCACATTTTCTTTATATCATTTTTTCACATTTTGTTTATTTCATTTTTCCCATTTTCTTTATTTCATTTTTTCCCATTTTCTTTATTTCATTTTTTCCATTTTCTTTTTTACATTTTTTTCACATTTTCTTTATTACATATTTCACATTTTCTTTATCACATTTTTCCCATTTTCTTTATTTCATTTTTTCACATTTTCTTTATTACATTTTTTCACATTTTGTTTATTTCATTTTTTCCCATTTTCTTTATTTCATTTTTCCCATTTTCTTTATTTCATTTTTCCCATTTTCTTTATTTCATTTTTTTCCATTTTCTTTATTTCATTTTTCCCATTTTCTTTATTTCTTTTTTTCACATTTTCTTTATTACATTTTTTCCCATTTTCTTTATTTCATTTTTTCACATTTTCTTTATTACATTTTTTCCCATTTTCTTTATTACATTTTTTCAAATTTTCTTTATTTCTTTTTTCCACATTTTCGTTATTTCATTTTTTATTTTTCACATTTTCTTCGTTTTATTTCACTTTTCCTTCTTTTATTTTTAATGTTTAATTGTTATTATTTTTCCATTTTTTTTTTTAATTTCTATTATTTTCCTGCTTTTTTTATTTTTCTTAAATATTTTTCTTTCGTTTCATTTCTTTATGTTTTATTCAATTTTCGTTGTAATTTTTTTTCATTTCATTGATTGATTCGGTTATTACGGTCTATCAACCCATTGCAGCTTATTTAAAACCAGGAAATATTTTTAGAATGTAAGATTTTTTTAAATTGATAATGATTTAGTAATACAAGTCTTACTAATTAACTCATAGATAGGAGTGGGGAAAAAAGATGGATTCATAAATTTGCCTAGGATATTTCGGCGAAAGTGCATATAATGAACCCAACGAGAATTGGAACTCCGCTATCCGCAATTCTTTTTTTATTTTTTCATTATTTTCTTTTCATTTGTTTTGTTCAAGATCTTTCCATTTATTTTCTTTTATTTTTCTTCTTTTATTTCTCTTGATTTTTCATGTTTTTCATTTCCTTTTCTTTTTACGTTTGTTTTTCTTTTCTTTATATATATAATTTCTTTTTTACATTGTTTTTATCTTTTCTTTCTTTCTCCTTTCTTTCTTTCTTTCTTTCTCCTTTCTTTTATTCTTTTTTCTTTCTTTCTCCTTTCTTTCTTTCTTTCTCCTTTCTTTTATTCTTTTTTCTTTCTTTCTCCTTTCTTACTTTCTTTCTTTTTCCTTTCTTTCTTTCTTTTTTACTCTCTTCAGTACATTTAGCTATCTAGTAAATTTGATTACCACCCATCGACTGTAGCTTTTATCACAGTTATCAAATCGTTTTCGAGACATTCGTGCTTTGTGCAGTTGTTTACTTTTGCGTGACATGTATTCCAGCAATTTCGGGTCGAAAGGTTGATTTAAAAGACCCAGCAATCTGTTCCAACATATAAGATGTGTATATGTATATATATATATATTATATATACATATATGTATATATTTATATATATATATATATATGTGTGTGTGTGTGTGTGTGTGTGTTTCACGTCTCATTTAAACATCTGGTCAGATGAGCTGTAAAATATCACATCTATCTAAATATCATATCTATCTATCCATCTATCGCTCTCTCTCTCCTCCCCTCTCTCTCTCTCTCTTTTTATATATATATATATATATATATATATATATATATATATATATATATATATATATAGAGAGAGAGAGAGAGAGAGAGAGAAGAGGGGAAACAAGAAAACATAAATTTTGTTATCAGTTTTTCTCTTATGCCTGTATATACCTTATATATATATATATATATATATATATATATATATATATATATATATATATATATATATATATATATAGATAGATAGATAGATAGTTAGATAGATACATAGATAGATATACTTTTCAGAGTTCTTTTTTATGTTAAGCATATATATATATATATATATATATATATATATATATATATATTGTTCCAATAATTGGATCGATTTTAAATGTGATTTAATTTTAAGCGTCAAATGTTTTTTTCTTTTTTGTCAGACAAGGCAGACATTTCGGCGATATTATTTTTCAGGCATAATTGCCATGACATAAATAGCATAATCCATTAGAGAAATAAATAAATTTTCATCAATAACACTGATTTATTTACTGCTGACTTTGATCCCGACTTAATGAAACATCCTTGTATCTAATCCGTTTTAATGAAACACCCTTTATATATATACTTATGTAGAGTTGTGCTTTTATGGTTATATATATATATATATATATATATATATATATATATATATATATATATATATATGTGTGTGTGTGTGTGTGTGTGTGTGTGTGTGTGTGTGTGTGTGTGTGTGAAAATATATAGAAAATAGGAAAGAACTGGTTAGGTAAATAATCCAAAGTTCCTTAGTATTTTAGTTATTATTTCAAAATTTAGCTTGAAGATGGAACAGAACTTACTTTAACTCAACTTAATTCGAATAATTATTTTGTAGTTTTCGGCTCTTGTTTTGAAACATGAGACCTCTTATGTCGCGAGTTGAAATCATATTTTTAAATAAATAATTATATATATATATGTATATTAATATATGTTTTAAAAAAATGGTCGAAAAAAGTCATTTCATTTTACCTCGTATTTCGTTTAAGACAAAAGAAACGAACATAAGTATGAATAAGATAAAATCAATCAGTGTGTCCAACTAATTTCTAATGAAAGCTTGCTCGACAGAGAAGAAACTGATTTTAATTTTTAATATCCTGCGTCTAATATACGACGGTACAACATTGCAGGACAAATATGACACGAGAAAACATCTTTTTAATCTCTAGGAATTAACCTTATGCCATAAGTGAACATTAGAAATTTAGAGATTGAGTCTGAAAATAAACTGATGATGTCTTTTAACATCGTCAGTTTGTACACTAATATTCCTCTTCATTAGACCATTAGCATATGTGCTGATAGTCTCTTTAGGGTTAATATTTGTCCTGTTAGCATTGCTGAAAATATTTTTTTAGAGTGCATGCATCTGGCTACTGGATGAGTTGAATTTAATTTTAATAATATGATTTATATCGAGACTGACAGTGTTGCTATGGGTATTACTCTGGGCCCTATTTTGGCCAATATTTTCGTAGGTTATTATAAGGGACTTTTATTCGACAAGGTTCATAAACCCTAAGTTTACATGAGGTGTTAACGACACCTTCTCAATTTTTGATTCCGCGATGATACTAATTTCTTCACGGAATTTATTTCTCTCCATCCATCCCTTGAGTTTACAATGGAGGTTAAGAGTGATGAGACATTACACTTTTTTATGTTCTTGTTGAGCATAAGAATGGGGTATTCTATACCAGCGTCTTCCGTAAATTCACAGGCTTATACACAAATTGGAATTCTTTTGTTCACAAGGCTCGGAAAATTGGTCTATTTTCGATCCTGGTTTATTGTGCTTTGATGAACTGATCTCTTATTTGTTAGATGAAGAACTTTCTATTATCCGGAAATTTTTTTGAAATTAATAGATATCCCATCAATATTATCAAACGCGTTATAGATAGTAAAATCAAACGTTTCAAGGAACCAGTGGTTTTAGGACCTAGTCGGTGCCCTAATTATTTAAAGTTGCCTTGTCAGGAAGTGTCAGCTGTTGTCTGACAGAATTCCAGCCTGTATCGTTTCATGTTACAATGCTGTTAAGTTGCACACTGTGTTTCAAACAAAATCCGCGTCCCTTTCTTTTAGCGAGGATCGGTTGTCCTGTTTTCAGAAAAATTTAGTTGTATACAAATTCAAATGGTTTTCTACTCTACAAAGAGCTCGCTCGCTTTATGATCTCCGAGTTCTTGAGGCTGTGTAAATAAAATTTCACCAGTCGAGCCTATGCAGACAAAAGCAGCATTTTATGCGTTCCTTAGGATTGATCGAGTGACGGTTAGTTTCTTGTTTCCATTTTATACTCTTGTGGAAATTGTTAATCATTGTATTAATTATTTACAGTTAAAATTCATTTTATTTCAATTGCGTTCCAACTTTCCCTCCGCTTTCGTTATTACTGCTATGTTTTTATTGTTTTGTATTTCGCCAACAATTGCCTTTGAAAAAGTGTTGCTTGAAAGAATCCTAAGGTGTAAAATGACGTCTATTTTGTTTAACTCTGTGTTCTATTTCTGTAGGTACAAGACTCTTTACATACATACATAAACATATATATATATATATATATATATATATATATATATATATATATATATATATATATATATATATATATATGTGTGTGTGTGTGTGTGTATGTATGTATGTATGTATGTATGTAATGAATATACATCTTTTGTCCTCAGCGGTAAGACAAATTTGTCAAATCTGACTGAAAACAGACCGTTGCATAATCATAATTTAAATATTTATATTTATAACATAATGTAATAACAGTGGAAAATCGCATTTATTCACGGGTGTGAGTAATAAAATAAAATAACAATAATATATATATATATATATATATATATATATATATATATGTGTGTGTGTGTGTGTGTATGTTATGTATGTATGTATGTGTGTATGTATACATAAATACAAATATAAAAGTATAAGTTAACTACAAATGTACACATATAATATGTAGTTTCAAATATAATACAAATGTACTCACAAATATAATGACATATCCAGATATACAGATATATTATATCCATTTTCATTTCAAGAGACCTACAGTGGTATACATAAAATTGCATGTATAATATCTATCTGCATAACAATATATTCGCTATTGTATTCATACAAAACTGTAAGTTCATGCACACAGATAAATGTACATTCATACATGTACAATTTTTCACCATGTCTTGTCAACGGGTTGCATTTTGGGATGTAGTCAAGGCCGAGAACCTTTCAACACACCTATCATACACACAGGTCAACACGATTCTATCAGCTAGAATCAGACGTGATTACCACCAAGAACCCAATCACGTTCAATATGGCGAATGCATCCCGACCGGATAACATTGATGTTGAAGGCTTTTACAAGGCAGATGAAGCTTTCATCACCCGCATAATGTTGCCCATTGTTCCTGTCATACTATTGTTCACATTCCGGAAGCTGCCGAAACTTCCGGTACGTGATTGGACGGAATGATGAGAAGGACAAATATTCTTAATAAAGCTGTCCCTACCTGGCTACCCACAGACAACCAGCCTCGATTTCAGTCTTTCATCGGCTTACGTCATGGACGCCGGTTGTCGGTTTGATCGAGGGGCGCATGATTAAAGTAAATAATAAGCGAGAAATTCGCAGTATTTTCAACAAAAGCGAAATGCATTGTTGCTTCTGTCAGATGTGCGCCTTCAGTAAATAATAAGCTTCCTCAAATCTTCGGTATATACTGTTATATATGAATGCGTGTATATGCTTGTACATCTATCGATATACGCATCCGCGCATACACATGCACATATGTGTGTGTATGTACCGTTACTGTTTATTTGACTAAAGATATTCCAGTACAAGCCACAATATCTATCCAATGTAGAGGCTTTCTGAACAAGGTGTGTGATACGGTGATGAAGCGTCTCTGCATTGTTAATATCTGCTGCATAAACCAATTTTTTTAGGTGGCCACACAGATAAAAAAAAATGACTAAGGCCGGGGAATGTGCAGGCCATGGATCCGGTCCTCCTCTACCTATATGTCTTTCATGGTAGATGTCAGCTGTGCATCGCGAAAAATGTGATTAAATGTGCTGGAGACCAATCATGCATGAACCACATGCGTTTTCGTATTGGCAGGAGTACATCCTCTAGCAGGTCTGGAAGTGTGTTTGAAATATTGTCCCTGTAGACAGCTCCTGTAAGACATACTGGGAAAATATATGGACCTAACAGTCACCCACAATTCCAGCCAACTTATTAATCATAAAGTGATGCTGGTGTTTAGCTTGTATTGTATCTTGGAAATTTCGATCCGTCCACAAATGTTGGTTGTTCAGATTTGCTATTCCATCTCTTTCAAATATTGCCTCAACTATATACAAGACTGAAGCAACAAACAACGGATTGGTAGTTTGTGCAATAAGTCATCGGCAAAAGTTCTGTGGTGAGTCATCAAAGGGCGAAAGACCCTGCACACGTTGCATATGATACCGAGACAGAAGCTGTTCTTGAAGTACACTTCATGCGGTAATATGTGATATACGACATGCTAGGGACACTTGACGTCACTTGGATCGTCTCCGACAGCCT